TAGCTGCTGGTTTTGGCTGTCAACAGGTTTCCAATACAGAGAAAATGTACAAATCTGCACAACTGGATGGAAATCTAATTATTACAGGTTCCCCAACCCCTTTTCCTGTATGAAGCCTCTTAAACAGCTCCTGTGATTAGCTTGTCATTTTCATTTGCAGAAATTGACTCAGGTACACTTATGTCAAGTACACTGATTTAACAGAGGGTGTACAAATCCTGTGCTATCCATCCTGGGAATTTTTTTAAGCAATGTCATTAGGTATTTATTTATATATTGCACTTGTACATCAATGAATCTTACAACTCATGATGTTTACCATAACAACAATTAACACAATAAGTACAGTTAAAAACTATAAGCAAAATAACAACAGAGATTAGAATAAACAAAAAAAAGTTACAAATAGCTACCAGGGTCAACCCAACAGTGACATCAACTTGCAAATACCTGTGGAATATTGTGCCATAACAGCTTTATAACGAGATGCCAGAATTGGCACAAACTGGATTTCTGAGGGGAGGGAAGTACATTGTAAAGAGCGTGGGCCACCACAGAGAAAGGGAAACACCATCTCCTGGAATTCAGAGTTCTCATCTTTAGGCATATATCAAATCAGAAATTCTGTTCACTTTACTGCATCAAATTATTTATACTCGTTCACTGAAACACACACATACACAAAGACTACAGGTAGTAGGGGGTGGATTTTTCAACAGTTCCTATAAATCATTTGTGAGTATTGGGTATGTTACTGAAGTGAAGAGTAATTTTTAGAAATATGTCTGCAGTATTGTTGTCTGTTGCAATTGTAAAGACAATTGTATTGTCTTTAATTATGTCTTTCTCTACATGAAATATATTCAGATCTGAGCACATGTATATTGGAAAATTTCTTGAGAACATGGTTTGGTCTTCATAACATATAGCCAAAGAAATGAGATGCAGTTTTCTCATACAGGTAGTCCTCACTTAATAACTGTTCATTTAATGACTGTTTGAAGTTACAACAATACTAAAAAGTGACTTACTATAGTGCCTGCAGTTACAACCATTGCAGCACACCCACAGTCACATGATCACAATCTGGGCACGTAGCAACCAGCTCATGCTTACGAAGGTTGCAGTGTCCTGGGGTCACGTGATCTCCATTTGCAACATTCCCAGCTGGCTTCCAGCAAGCAAAACCAATGGGGAACTGCATGATTCTCTTAACGACCATGATTTGCTTAATGACCACATGATTCACTTAATGACTGTAGTGATTTGCTTATCGACCACTGCAAAAAAGGTCATAAAATTGGGTTCGGTCACGTGATGATTTGCTTAATAACTGTGTCGCTTAGCGACCTAAATTCTGGTTCAAATTGTGGTTGTTAAGTGAGGATTACTTGTATCTCAAAGCTGTAGGAAAGTACAGGAATTCCAAATAACTTGGTTCTTATATAGTTTGTTCCAGGCATTTATTTTTTTGCCTTAGGTTCAAAACAAGATGATGATATCCCCCAATCTGCAGAGTTTTTGACTGGACTCATAATTCAATTTTACCTCAGCATTGGCCATAAAATAATCTCATATAATTCTATACCATTAGGACAAATTACATGGCATACCCATTTCTGCTTTCCAACAGCACAGTTCTGTTCACAACTGAATTCATGAGGAAAAGTATATGTCACCTGACTTGGTCATCTCATGCTGTCTACTTTATAGGGCTGGTTCAGTTACTTGTGCAAATGTTAACATGCATTCTCAATAATCCTGAATGTCATGTCCTTTGTGTTGAAAGGTTCAGTGCTACTCTGAACAGAAAGGATTTTTTTTTTTGGTTTTTTTTGCTATGAGTTAAATGCTACAGCACAAAATAAAGATTTGAATGAAAAGAAACCCTAGTATCTTTCTACTTTCCCCCAGTTTTTGTGCTTTAGTAGAGATGGTTGATAGTGCCTACACCCACCATCAGTACAACTAGTGCTATTTTAAAAACCCCTAAAATCCATTAATAGCAACACTAAACATTGCAAAGATAGAGAAAGATAAAACTGTCCAAATATGTCATTTGTTGCCCTAAATAGGATCATACTACTCCACAAACTGGGAACTCTGTTTCTTCTGGACTATGTTTCACTTTGTTCCCTTATTTGAAATCTTTATTTTTATTTCAGGGAAGCCTTGTAGAGTCATACGTGCCAATAAAAGTATACACACCACACATGTAAGTGGCTAAGAAATTCTTTATCACTGAATATTTTATTGTTGTAGCCTTTTATGTCTAGTATCCATTTCTATTGTGATATATTACTACGGTAGATTACTTGTCAAACTGACAAGTTTACAGTTTTGTTATTTCCCAGATCAATAAAGTTTTAAAATGATTTATTAGGTTACTGCCTTGCTATGGTCAAAGGGAAAGAATAGCACTGACCTTACTCACTTTCCTTTTCGGTAACATTAAATTTTCCTTAATAAACTATGTGTTCACAGTGGCATACTAAATATTCATGCTACGCCTTTCTTTAGTAAAGTAAATGCAAATATCTATTATACAAAGGGCCAACAATTCATTAGTGAACTATAAGGACAATCTCAAATCTGACTTTCAGGAAATACACCATTAGTCCCTTTTTGAGCAAAAGACTTTTGCTGGTACCTACCATCTTGCCATGCATTTTCTCATCCAAATAAATAAGAACACCCAACTTCACAATCTTTTGCATCATCACAGTTGTGTTCGCTGAGGACAGAAGAGGAGGAGGGGAGAGGATATTGTTGAAGTTAAATGGAATAGTCATATGCTTCTTAAGTTTCTATTCTAGAATCTGTGCTGTAGAGGATTTGGTGGTAACAAAGGTGAAGTCATCGCCAAGGATTAATTGAGTTGCTAATACAGAAGGAGCAAGATATTTAGCTGTCATTGGCTGAGCTGCTCAGATCTTAAGAGAGAGATTTAGTGGTCAGAAAAACAGAAGAAACCACAAAAGCAGGAAATTAGCAGCTGTGGAAAGAGGAGAAGAGGAATCAAGAATGAAGCCTGGGAGAGAATGATCTACAAGGCCAGTTGCTAGACTAGGAGAGGTAGAGAGAAAACCACTTAGTTAAAGAACCACAAATCCCTATATTTGTAATCTACTTTGTTTTCAAACATATTAAAAACTAAGTCATCACTCTTATATCAATTATTAAATGTTGCTCTTATATCAACTATTAATGTAAATATTAAAACACATTGGATCTACACCAACTATATCCCCAAATTTATTGCAGCAATATAAATACAGCGTTACGACATTCAAAAAGTATATTGAGCTGCGTCTACACTAGTTACATGTATAAATGGTTTAACATTAAATGTCTGTCCATCTGATCTGCAGAGAGCTAGGGGTTGGTTCCACATCATTATGAGATGCATACCGGAGCACAAACTGTCCTGTGCAATGAAATATACACCTGTAGGAGTTGCTACAAATGTCAGAAGCAAAACATTGTGTGCCATGTACAAGATATTTATAATGAAAGAGATACATCTTTACAAGAGAGGGAGGGAGGGGGAGAGAGGGAGAGCGGGTGAGCACTAATATAAGAGATACATTCTGTTCCTTGGGCTAGAAGGTGAAAGAAAGAATAAGGCAGCACAGCAGGTTTGCTGTATCTGTGACCTATGTATTGGAGTTTGGAAATTCTCCACAGGGTGGGAGCAGTCTGGGTAACTGATCTTTTATAAAAGCAGTGTCAGACCATACCAGCGGCACCGTGGAGCAATGCAAAGCAGTCCCTTCATGTGGCAGATTCTTCCCTACCCGTTGTCCCCTCTCTTGCTCTCCCTCTTTCCTTCTAAAGAGTTGTGGTCCAGAGGGCTGGTGTCATTTCTTTTGTTTGCTTTGCTGGGTGGCTGCCGCTGCCGCGTTTTTAAAGCGGCTCTTCCAGATGCCCCTGGCATCGATCCCGCGGTATGCCATGGGCCTGACAAAGAGGGGTTTACTGTCTGGCTTGCGGGGACCCGAGGTGCTGAGTCAGGACATCCCAGCCTCGCCGAGTTCCTCGGGCGGGGTGAGGAAATCGGACCCCTCCCTCATCCGGCTCTGCCATCCGATCGGCGGCAAGGCTTGCCTGTGTTGCAATTTGCTCTTTTCTCCCCACTCCTCCCCCAGCAGGACAGGAACCTCTCGCTCAGGTCGCAAAACCGGGAGGCGGCGGCGGCAGCAGCAAGGGTGGCCGAGGGGGGATTCTTGAGCCTTCGCTGAAGGAGGGATTGACTGTCGGGAGGGAGCGGAGGAGAAAAGCAGAGCGAGCCCAACCGAACGAGGCTCTGTCACGAAAATCAAGGGAAAAAGAAAAAAGAGGCGACGCCACGCGCAAGCGGCCGCCTGCCTGAGCAAACACCCGGGCGCCGGCAGCGAACGCTGTGACGGTACCAGGAGCTGTGGAGAATGGGCGACAAGCTGCTGCGTGCAAACAGCGCCACGGGAGAAGAGACAAGGCTCCGTTACGTGCGAGGGACCCGCACAGGCGCACATAACGGGTGAGCTTGGCGGCCGCTTCCCGAAGGCGGGGGAAGGGCGAATCGCCTGCCTGGAACTCGGGAGAGTTTGTCTGCTGCCTGTGGAAGTGAGGAAAAGAATGTGCTTCAGCCCCACCTCCTCCTCCTCTTCCTCCTCCTCCTGCCGCTGCCCCAGCTCCTCTCGAGCAGAGCAGACTGGAAGCGA